AGATGTGTCTGTATATAAGCCTATGTATATATCTATACATATGTATATATATATGTATGTGCATATATATGTATATATATATATATATATATATATATATATATATATAAGAGGTCAGCGTAGTGTTATAGGATGTGCAATCTAGTGAAGTGATAGTTATAGGATGTTCAATGTTAAGATATGCCAAGTTTTAGTTTTGTGTAATGAGGGACTGGAATGACGCTTTTATAGAGTTCAGTGTGAACGAAGGCCTAGTTGTTTCTGTAATGAGCCATTTGAATGACGTTTTCATATGAAATTGTACATTTCTTGTATTCCATTCCATGTGTGCGATAATTATATAATTACTAAAGTATGCTGTTAAATTCAATTCATATTAGTTATCATTCCAAATTTCACTAAATACCAAACGTGAGTAAAATGTTTTCTGATGTAATGAATTTGCTATATTAGCCAAGCTACACGAACGGAACTTATACAAGTTATCTACATACACTTTGCACGTATTGTAAATTGCATTTCGTTTAAATTAAAAGTAAAATGATTTTGGTATATTCTTTGGATAGATGAAAAGAAAAAACATATACCTCAGACGTCCTGGATATGAATATGGTTAATCTGTGTTTATTCTTCACACCTACGAATATTATAATTATTGCTTCATTTTACCCGTTAATTTTTGTCGCTAAGAAATTGTAGCGAAACCTTTCTAGAAAAAGAATGGCAAAATAATTTTTAAAGACTGTATGGAATAGTATGACAATTTTTAAATAGTTCGTTAAAATACTCGCAATTTGTAAACTGCCATTTGAATATATTATTTGTTGTTTATTTACAAATAATATAGTGTTGAATGAATATATATATATATATAAATGTATGTATATATATATGTATATATATATGTATATATATAGGCCTTATAGAGTAGTGTAAGTACCTTAGGCAATCTAGAGTAGTGTACAATGATGCGCCTCTAGAGTTACATTTAAGCAATATTGTTAAGAGTTTTTTTCATATTCTTTTTCAATGAAATAATAAATACCTAAAAATCTATATTACAGCAAAATATTTTACAGATAATTATATATACAATTATATATTTATTAATGAACATTATTAGGGTAACAAAAACTCTGACTGGGATCGGAATCCTCAACACAAAGTGTACATAGGCCTAGCAGTACACACCATAATCTATAACTGGTTAAGCCAATCTGAATTTCTACTTGTAGTTATTCTGTCAACTTATATCTATTCTACGAATATCATTGAAAATATTGAGACATTCGTCAACAGTACTACACTGAGTATGTTCAATTGATGGCTAATTAATTTGATTCCTTACTTGCGGTACTGTATGAACTTTGCTTGTTTCTATAACCACGCTCACATCCAATTACACCCCCGTTCCGCAATAGTTTAGCCCACAACCCACATTTCTCACCTGAATGCGAGGAATAGCGGTGACATCAGAAGAACCACCCACTTGATTCCTTCGTTTCAACTAAAAGATACCATTGCCCATAAAATCAATTTAAACCGCCTACGAATGAACTATTCATTTAACAAAACCACTTTTAAGTGGTTTTGTCTGATAGCAACTTGTCTGATAAATGGACTACGGAAAGTAGTAGTAGTAATAAGTAGTAGGCATCCGACAGTCTCGGGAGATTATGGACTTGCATGCTGGTAGTGGATCTCGCGCAACGTCTAGTGTGGCTGGACAGGCCAATGCTGGACAGGCCAAATTTCAAGTCTCTCTTGCAGACAGCTTTGCACGCAGTTTGGGTCTGCCTTGTGGGACGTCTTCCTAATACCATTTCTCCATAGAGAAGATCCTTTGGAGTCCGACCGTTTTCCATACGCACTACGTGGCCGATCCAACGCATACGCCTTAGCTTCAACAGACTGTAGGCCTACATGCTGTGGATATTTCCTTTCCAGGACGCTGGTGTTGGTGACTTTGTCCTGCCATGTAATGTTCAAAATACGGCGGACGCAGCGCATGTGTAAGGCGTTAAGCTTGTGCTCTTGTTTTGCTCGCAATATACACGCCTCGATTCCATACAGGAGAGTGCTCACGACGCATGCCTTATATACTTGGACTCTCGTGTGCTTCGTCAGCTTGCCATTTTTCCAAACTCTCTTTTTCAGTCTGGCCATTGTGTTAGCAGCTTTGCCGATTCGCTTGTTCAGCTCTGTATCCAAAGAAAGGGAGTCCTAGATTGTTGCCCACATACACAAATTCATGGACAACATTCAGTGTTTGGTCAGCAAGTCTGATGTCAGGTAGAGAGTCTCTGCCCTGCCCCATGACTTGTGTTTCCTATGACTGATTGCGAGTCCAAAGTCCTGGTCCTGGCAAGCCACACTGAAGCGATCCAAAAGCTGTTAAAGCTCTTTCGCTGAATGTGTGGTGATGGCTGGGGCGAATGCAGGGGAGTGCAGAAGGTGCGGTCGCACCCAAGTAAATTATTCTATTAAGAAAAATAATTGTTGTTATCATATCACTGATCGCAGATCACTGGGCCTCCACATATTTTTAAGGGGAAAGAGTTGGTCCCCTCACTTTTCAGGAATCAAGAAGATATGTGTGAAAATTGTTGTAATAAACTGCATAAGTGACTCAGGATTTAAAGAAAGAGGGCGGTAGGCCTACAGCCAGAGTACATCTTACAGTACCGGTATTTTATAGCAAAATACCGGTATACTTATGTCCATAAACATCTGAATTACCTACCATACACAATTCGAGTGCGCGTGCCTTTATTATAATTTGAAAAGTATGAGAAAATTGGTTTTCGGCACATGAAGTAGGTGAAGTAAATACATCAAAGACAATTTTATTTTATTTAATAATGAATTTTACATACAAAAGTGTCATATAAGGCAATCTAGAGGTAGGCCCTACAATTTGCCCAAATTTTACAACCTCAGCCACAACTGTGGTGGTGCTGAGATGCGTATGGACTCACAGTTTTGAAGTAGATAAAGTAAATACATCGAGGGCATGTTTTTAAGTTGTATTTTCTATGGTACCGTACATTACATATTAGATCTCTGTGGTTGCCGAAAATAGATGATGAAGAGTCATGAGAATATGTTGGCGCTTGAATTTGACTATATAATTTTGGTGATGATGAAGAATTTTGTTTCATTTAAGGCCATCTAGAAGTACTATTTCTTGAAATTTTCTCACCTCAGCCCCAACCATGGTGGGGCCGAGGTGAATGTGGCCACATAGCTTTGAGGTAGGTCAAATAGATTAAATACATCAAAGAAAGTGTTTCTTTAGTTTTTTTTTTCTATGGTACATCACTCATAACAATTCTGTGGTTGTCGAAATCCATGATTAAAATCATGAAAAATTTGCTGGCGCTTCATCTAGACATGATGGTGTGATGATGATGAATTTTACTATATAAAAGTGTCATTTCCGGCCATCTAAAGGTACTATTTCCTCAAATTTTCTCACCAACCTCTGCTCCAACCATGGTGGGGCAGAGGTGGTTGTGGACTCACTACTTTGAAGTAGGTAAAATAAATACATCAAAGAGAATGTTTTTAAGTTATATTTTCTTTGGTTCATCACACATACTACTTAATCGTTATGGTTGCCGAAAATCGTCGATAAAAAAAATGATGAAAATTTGTTGGCGCTTCATTTTCACTATATAATGATATAGTGATGTGATGATGATGAATTTTACTATTATAAATGTGTCATTCCCGGCCGTCTACAGGTACTATTTCTTCAAATTTTTGCACGCACCCCCTACCGAAATAAATCCTGCATCCGCCCCAGGATTGCTGCATCGTCGGCGAAGAGGAAATCAAGCTAAGCATTTCAACTTAACTTTGGACTTGGCCCTGAGACTGGAAAGGTTGAAGAGCTTGCCGGTCTGGTTCGTAGGTAGATTCCCTCTGTAGCGGATCGAAAAGGCGTGTTTCAGCAGGACCGCGAAGAAGAT